TATATAAGATGTCAGAGGGGTAGTAGCCTTTGGTGGGGGGTAATCACTTTTTGAGGGGTGTAAATGTCTAATCATTATGTTGTTTTTGTACACCTGAAGCTAATATAATAATAATAATAATAATAATAGTAATAATAATAATAAAGAAATGTAGGCTTGAAGTCCTCTAAAAAAAAACAAGTGAAATCCAGAGAAGAAATGTAAGATTAACCTTAGATCAGTCTGGGGACACTGTCCATAATAACAAAAGGCAAAGAAAATGTTACAGATGCAGATGCAGATAAATTGGTTGATTTAGTGGCAAAATGAGGAATTACTAAGTACTAATTTTTTTCTTAATGAAATGTCAGGCAAGATTATCTGTAAAGGAAGTGGTTGTAAAGAAAGTTTGGAAAGGTCAAAATTTTGAAAAAAGAGGAGCACAAAGCAAATATTTTTGGAGAATGGGAACCTAAATATGTTAGGAAAGGGTCATAAGATTGTTGGGCAGTATTGTGTGCCAATAAGATTTGTAACCAAGAGTTTGAAGTTGACTTTTAGCGTGATTGTATGTTTTTCTCCAGATCATTCCAGCTGCATATGTGCAGTCAGAGACTAAGCAGAAAGATGCATTTAACCAGGATAGATGGAGCGTATGAGAAATCCCTTCCTCTATAATCTCAGTAATTCTTGATATAATGAATCTTTAATTGTTGCCATCATAGTAGTTAAGAAACAAAATCTCATTTTATTTTTTGCTTGCATTTCTCTGACCTCTAGGGAGGCTGAATATCTTTTCATGTGCATATCAGTCATACTTATTGCTTCAGATTCTATGTCTAGTTTTTCTACTAAGTTATCTGCTTTTTTTTCTTATTGATTTTTAAGATTTATGTAATGGATACTGATATTTTGTTTGCACTATTTTCTCTCAGGCTATTATTTATTCCCAATTTACAGTGTCTTTCACTATGTTGATGATTTGAAAGTTTACATAGTCCAATATATCAATGTTTTCATTTGGGGCATCTGGGTTTATGGCGGCTTCATCTTTTCCTCTTGTACCCCACTTGAAGTTTCTAAAATTATCCTCCTATATTTTATTGTAGTAGTTTTCAAATTTTTCTTTTTTCTGTTTGATCGTTGAATCATTTAATTTGAGTTTAATTTCGTATACAGTGTGTGGTAGAAAACCTAACTATTATTTTGATAGATGGATACCCAATTGTGCAATGACTTTCCCCACTGATTTAAAATGTCACCATTTCATATTTTAAATTAACATATACCCATATATGTATATAGATATATAGTCATGTATCTGGATTTTCTTCTCTGTCCCATTGATTTGTTTGTCTACACCTGTATAGTGTTTTAACAAATGCAGTTGTGTACCATATTTTGACACTTTGTAGAACAAGTTCCTCCCTTATTATTCTTCCTCTAAAACTTTAGTTGGCTATTCTTGCTTATTAACTTCTCCAGACAATTTTTATAATTTGCTTATCAATTCCAGTGGGCCTTGCATGCACTGAATTTACATATCAGGTTGGGGAAGCAATTACATTTTGCTTTGGGAGAGGAAGAGGGAAGGAGAGAGCAAGGCACCCTCACTCAGCAGGCTAAGGTGTGCTGATCCTGTGGGTGTCAGGACAGGGTCACAGGCCCTTTGGGTGGGCGAGTTCCAAAGGCAGAAGGAATAAGGAACAGATATTGAAATCAGCTTCACTCTATCATGCATTTACCAAAGATGAAGCTAAAAAGGTTCTAAATGCAGCAATTTTGATAAACACTACTTGCTGGAATGATGTCCAGTAAGTTGTATCACAGTCATTTGTTTTTCCAAATTGATGTTTACATTTGTCGAAATAAACTAATATTCTCAAATTACTCAGTTCTTTGGTGTGAACAAGTTCAAAAGTAATCAGAAACCAATAGTAGGGGAAAGGCGGCAAACATGGTAATGTGTAGGAGAGGACGTTTACAATTTATTTTAATAAGAGTACTGACAAATATTTGAAAATTCTATTATGTGAATGTCTTGGATAAAAGAAACTTTGCAAGGGAATGAGAGTTTACGCAATAAAAGGAAAGATATTAGATTACCATATTAATTCCTTCTTCATGGACCCATGAGAAAAGCAGGCATTAGATGCCAACCCTGAAAGTGTCACCACCGAACACCTACCCAGTTTAACCCTGGGAACAACATCTACATTATTTTCAGAGCTGCAGGAGTGTCAGGAGTCAGTACTCCTATGAAAAACAAGCGTTGCAGTCTTGAGCTATCCATCTATCAACTCGTACTTCCATTTTATTTTCTGTGGTGTTGACTTTCCTCTTTTGTTTTCTGCAAAAAGTAAGAAAGACAGACCTGGTTAGAATTCAATTCTCAGCTGCACGCAGGGCTGCAGTGGAGCTACAGAGCCTCATTCTGATGGGGCCAATGGCAGGGAGCTATTTATAGACTGGCTCTGAAATTTCCTTAGTGACAAGGGTTGAAAGGAGCTCTCTCCCTGCTGTTGGAAATATCCCCAGCCAGCCTGTGTGGCCTTGCCCCTGTAACTTTGGAATTCTTCTCAAGTACTCATAGGTTCAGTATTATTTTCTTTTACATTAACAAATGATTCATGGTTGGAGACCTTGCATGAATATTTACCAATCCAAGTGTGTATTATATTTTGTTTTGATGATAATGTGTTCTCTTGAAGGGGAGATATTTCATTTTGATGGCTAAGCTTTGTACTGCCGCAACTAATGTCCGTGCTTAACGTTTCTTGTGCTTTGAAATTTATAACCCGTCTATTATATATCACATTTCAGGGCGTTGGCCGAAATCCTAACATTTTCGTCCTTCCCTTTATGTTTGTTCTTTTTTTTCCTTCCCTCCAGCTTGACCATCTGTCTTCCTACTTTTGCTTCGGTAGAATCATGGACTAAGTACCTAGGGGTGAAACAGCACATGTCATCAAAGATTCAGCTTTCAGAAGTCATCTCGGATCTGTGTAAGTACAGAGTGACTTCTGCAAAGTGTTCTACATCTTGTTACCATCTGGTCCTATTACCTCACCTAGTTAGAGCCCAGCTAACGAGGCCAAGGTCATGGATTCAGACCCCACGTGATCCAGTTTACTTTGCACAGCGAAGAACTTTTTTGTGTGGCCATAGCCTGCAACTGCTAACGCTGGCTGGTCCATCTTGAAAATGAGCCCACACTGGAGGACCTGGTGAGAGCTGGGTTGCAGCCAAGCGCTCACCATTATTACAGAAAACTTCAAAACATATGTTCTACAGCTGGCCAGTCAGCAGAACCCCTATCTCAGGGCACTCTTTATATTAAGCTTTAGAATAGATAGGACATGAATGATAATCTGTTTCACACATCTAAGGTCACGCAAGGGATGATAAGAACCCCCCCGTCCCCCAAATTAGTCCTGTCCTTGATGTTATTCTTCCTTTCTATTCATTTTTCCTAATCACATCCCTCGTAGACTTACACATGTGAGATACTGGCACCATTAAACCTGGTGAGGTAAGCTGACACATATAACTGGGAAGAGAGTTGCCATTAGAATCAGCGGTTCTCAACCTGTGGGTCGCGACCCCTTTGGGGGTCGAATGACCCTTTCACAGGGGTCGCCCAAGACCATCGGAAAACAAAAAGATATTTGCATTACGATTCATAACAGTAGCAAAATTACAGTTATAGAGTAGCAACAAAAATAATTTTATGGTTGGGAGTCACCACAACATGAGGAACTGTATTAAAGGGTCGCGGCCTTAGGAAGGTTGAGAACGGCTACATTAGATGAATGCAATGTCTGAGGACTCGAATGAACAGAAATTTTAAGCAACTTCTCCATTTGGCTTTTGTAATACTCGTAGAAAATTTGCAGGATGATTTAAAATTTACAAGCCATTTCCATATCTTCCATTCATTTGGTCCATCCAGTGTGAGATTGACGTGACAGGTATTGTTACATCTTTCAGATTAGACGAATTATGTGTAGAAAGGTAACATTACTTGTTCAAGGTCACAGAATTTATATAGTTTTTGGACCCTGATCCAGGGGCCTTTCCCTGATATCACACTATATTTTATTTCTTGACTTACGTGTACAGAAATATCTCAACAGATAATCGATTGTATTGTTGAAAACATCTCTATTTTATTTTTGAGTTGATGAGGGAGGGAAGATTTCATACTTCTGTAGTCATGATTACATATCAAACCAGATTTATGAAACTTGAATATGGTCTCAAAAGGAGATTGAATAGATGTTTCTGAAAATCTTCCAGAGCTTTTTTTAGTAAGACCATGAGACATGGCAGTTGAGAAAGTTTCTGAAATTGAAGAGATCGCTTTCAAATCTTGGGTCTGCTTTAGTTTACTTTTCAAACAATCCTACCCTACATGATTAAGAAATAACCTTACTGTGATTAAGAAATAACCTTGGCAACAGTCTTTTTGAAACTAATTTGTGACAAATTGTGTCATAGCCCTGCTCAGAACTGAAGTCCAAAAGTAAGAAAATTAGGGAGGGGATTTCAATTCAGAATCCTGGTTGTAGGAGGAAGCAAGATGTTCTTAGCCCCTCCCAACCCCCCACCCCCCCCAAGACCATTGCACTTTAATTGTGTGACATTTCTCTTCCAATTAAAGGCATGTCTTGTATCCAAAGGGTCTCATTTACATTTTGCTGCTTTGCAGACCCTAGTATCATCTTACCATACTTTTTACCATGTTACATAATGCGTTATGTCTTGAGGCAATTTAAGGCCTCCTGCTGACTACTTAAAATTGCTAAGTTGAAGGTCAGACTAGATCAGTGAACATCTATTAAAATGCATAGGCAGCAACACAAACAGTAGTTAATAAGCACTCAAAGCAAGAGAAAGCCACGAGAAATGTGAAGGAAAAAAATAAACAAGGTGTTTCTTAATTTTGCGACTGCATCTTTGTTTCATTCATATCAATGGCTGTGGATTTAGATCCACCTCAATTTGCCTTTTTGGAATTTGTTTGTTTTTCTTCTTGTGAAATATTTTATGCATTCAGAAGAATGCATAAAACATATGTACCATTTGAACAACAATTACAAAACAGCATCCATGAGCTTCTCAGGTCAAGAAGAAACTTGCCACAAGCATCTCCAGAGGCAGACAGAACCTACCTCCACCAGCCATAACATCAACCAAAGAAATGAGCCCATTTGAATAAACTAGCTTGTCTGTACAGATTTATCTCCTCTGTAGTTTATCCTCTAAAGACTTTAGTTTTATTTTGTTTTTGAAAATTACACAAGTGAATTATACAGCTTTTCTTTTTTTGACTGCTTCTTTCACTCAATAGTATATCTATCTGTAAGCTTTATCCATGATAATGGATGAATATATATTGTAGTTTCTGCATTTTTATGGTTGTATAGTATAAATTATATTCATACTTAACAATTTTTATATTGATTCTATCTTGAGACACCTTGGATCACTTCCAGTTTGGGGCTATTTTGAACAATGCTGCTATGAGCCTTACTGTCTCTATGGCCTGCCTATGTACTAAGAGTTTCTCCCGAGTGTATATGTAGGGATAGAATGCTACATCATAGGACATGCATACCTTCAACTTTGCTAGAAAATACTGAACTATTTCCAAAATATTTTTATTCATTTTCACTCCCAAGACAGAATTCCTATTGTTACATTTTCTCACCAACACTTGCCAGATAGTGTAATTTTTGCCAATCCAATGGGTATATAATGGTTTTCTATTGTGGTCTCAATTTGCATTTCACTGCTTGCTATTGAGTTCATCACATCTTCTTTTAGCAGCCATGTAGATTTCCTTTTTTGTGAATAGCTTATTCAAATCCAGTGCCCATTTTCTTTCAATTGGGCTATTTGTCTTTCATATTGATGTTTTCGAGGATTATTTGTTATATGTATTATTTGAAACAATGACTTCAAGAGATGATGGAACTAGCCATGGGGATACCAAGGGAAGAGCATCCCAGGTAATGGAAAAAGTCCAGTGCCCAGTCCTATACCAGAAGCCTGCCCGGAGTAAAATAGTGAGAGGGAAATGAATAGTAGTTGAAGTCATAGGGATAATGGAGGGAGGCCTTGTAGGAATCTTTGGCTTGGAGTCTGAATGAAATGGGGAGTGACTAGGGTTCAGGGCAAAGGGGTGACATAACTTGACTCCTCCTCTTTTAAAAAAATAATACATTTTTATTTTTTTTTTTTGGAATAGTTTTAGGTTTACAGAAAAATTGAGTGGCATCTAATGTCCTGTTGGGAGAGTCTTTTGCTTCCCTCCCTGCAACTATGGGCTCTGCAAAGTTAGAAGTTCTGGCCTCCAAAGGGGGCATACTGCTACTAAGGGACACATGAGATCTTATTGAACTATGAATATATAGTGTACCTGCTGCCAGGGAATTTTAGAGTCCTTAATAGGGACCAGCAAGTGAGAAGAAGAGCAATTATATTGGTAGGAGAGTGATCGTACCGATCTGAGAGTAGGAAGAGGCAGATCGGCTGTTACACAGTGGGGGTAGAAAGGAGCATTGTGGTACCCAGCTGTTCACCTGGATGCCTCTTAGTGCTCCCTTGACCAATTGTAACTGTGAATGAACATGTGCGGCGACCCTTGAGAATGGTATGATGGCCATGGTCTCAGATCCTGTTTGGTTTACACTACCAGATAAGACACCAAGACCTGCATAGGCATTGGCTGAGGGTAGGAAAATTTAGAGTGGATGATAGAGGAGTGAGATGATCAGTACCAACTGTGGCCCTGAGGCCGACTGCAGCAATGGAGGCTGTAGTTTGTCTCATTTGCCCTAAGAAATAGAGGTCAAAGGACTCCTGGAAAATGTCTAAAAATGTGGGTCAGTACAGAGCTAAGATGGACTGTGGTGGCCATGGAGATCAGCTGCTCAGTCTCTCTGCAAGCAAATCTTCTGTGGGAAGCATAGTTAGACCAACACCTCCGTTTATACATTCAGATATAGCATGATGTTCACACTGAACCATGCTTTCCCTGGGCCATTCCCAGCATGATGGGGTTATTAGAGTTGGGACATTCTTGTCTTTAATGGGAAACCTTTGCTCAGTGAGCTTCCATTAGCCTGCTGTGATGGTCCGCGCCTTGTCCTACTCAAGTCTCCTTTCTTCTTTCTCTTCTTTCACAGATGTCAGATCTAGATTGTCTCCCAGGCTACCTCAGTTGCTTCCCTTTGCTCCTTCACAAGCATGTTCCCCAGTAAATCTCATGAACATCTAATCCCATATTGGCATCTGTTGCTTGGAAGACCTGAGCTAAAAATAAAGTATGTTTAACATAGTTATCAAAATGGATTAGTTTAAATCTACCATCTTGCTATTTCTTGCCTACTCTTCCATTTGTTCTGTGTTCCTTCCCCATCCTTGTTTTGAATT